GTTCCAGGCCTACCTGGAGATGCCAAGGACTGGATTTTGGACTTTTATTATTCAAATGGTGTGCTTTCCCATTAAGCTCTCATTCCAGTCTAAGGACTGGCGTAATGAAGCAGTAAGAGCAGTGGTGTTGCAATGGGTTAAGCCCTTGTGCTGACTGAACTGCTGACGTGAAGGTCGGCAGTTCAAATCCGTGAGATGGGGTGAGCTCCTGTCTGTCAGCTCCCCATGTGGGGACATGAGAGAAGCCTCCCACTGGATGGTAACACATCCCGGTGTCCCTGGGCAATGTCTTTGCATACGGCCAATTCTCTCACACTAGAAGCGACTTGCAATTTTTCTTTTTAGTTTCTGACATGCTAAAGAAAATGAAGCAGTGACAGCCTTCTTGAGGTTTTCTTATTTCATAATTTTATCACAAAATTGTCTAAACTTTAAATGTGTTGTCAAAGGTGTCAAATTCTGTCACCAAAATAGATTCAACAAAGTAATTGGGGACATGGAGTTGATTTATTGCCCCAGTGACATCAGAGCCACCATTTTCCATAGTTGAACTAACAACCATGTGATTATCGTGTTCCTTTAAGTCATTTCTGACGTATGGCAACTTGCAGGGGAAATATCATGGGGTTTCCTTTACAAGATTTGATCAGAGAGTAGTTTGCCTTTGGCTTCCTCTGAGGCTGAGAGAGTGTGACTTGCAAGACTTCTAGTGGGGCTCAAACCCTGGTCTTCAAAGTTGTTGTCCAAACCACTACGCAATGGTGGCTCTCTGCCAACCATGGTCCCAGTCCAATTTATATGGAGATATAAAGTAGGCACGCAATCAACACACACCAAACACTTAAAATAAGATTAAAAATGAGAAGTACAATAAGTATATCACCAAGTTCTGACTAACAACCACTTCAAAGCAAATCATCCATACAACTGTGCTGTCAATTTTAATGCAATTTCTTGGGACTTTTTTCCTCTTGCCATTAAAATCCCCACCACAACTTTATACACCAACCCGATTGAAAGATCTCTATATTGGGTTTGCATCTAGAAGACTATTAATAGGATTCCTTGGATTAACAAACTGTAGCCTTAAAGTGATACATGACCCCATCCAACTACTTCCCACTCCACCTGTGATTGACTTGAATCCTGTTCCATTTGTGCAATCTGTAATTTCATAAACACGCTTCTGTCAAAACACACCACTACTCAGAAATGGAAGGGTTTAAAGAAACACATTTGTAATGTAAATACTGTAACCTCTGGAGTCTACTAAGAGACTTAGGAAGGTATTTACATTACCTGTATAAACACACTCAGAGAACAAGGGGAGGGGAGGAAGAAGGGCGAAGCTGTGCTTTCCTATAAAATTGAGGTGGTTGAATATCCTCTCTTTAAAAGGCCATAAATGGTTCCTGACTCATGTCCACAGTGACCTCCTACCTGTTCAACAAATTATAACTCTGAACACATCCAATTTCAGTTGGTTTTGAAAGTAATGGGTCCATCTACACTGCAGAATTGATGCAGGTTGAAACCTCTTTAACTGCCATAGCTCAATGCTTTGGAATTATAGGAGTTGTCGTTTTACAAGATCTTCTCTCAGCCAAGAGTGTTGGTGACTCACCAAACTACGCATCTGAATGCTTGTCCACGATGCCCTTCCTCATGTACAGAGGAAGAATTGTTGGAGGCTACAGACAATGCCATTGCTGTTGCAAGTTTTTGGTCCAAAGATATTTAGCCGGCTGTGCTCCTTCTATTTTTATCAGTTTTATACTAATTTATGCAATGCTTTTGATATGAAATAAACAAACCAAACAACAACTCCCAAGATTCAAGTGGTGTCAAACTGCATTAGCATTTGAATGAGTGAACAACACCCAGGATTTTATGTAGAGTTAGGAAAGAACCCTTCCTCAAACCATTGAGACTTACTGCTGCTAATCAAAGCTGATGAAACTGAGGTAGATGGACCAGAGCTGGAAATGCTAAGCCTGATTCAGTAACAGAAACAATTGTGGTGCATCAATACCATAGAATTAACCGTCATGGCTCAATGCTATGGAATCATTGGTGTTACAGTTTTACAAGGCCTTAGCCTTATTTGCCAAACAGTGCTGGTGCTCCACCAAACTACTAGTCAGAAATGACCTGAATGAACATAATAACATCATAAGGCAACTTGTTATATTCCAGTGACATACAGAATAATACCTCCTTAGGCTAAAGCAGACCCACTTTGTCTAACCAACTATTTTCAGCAAGGGACAGCTCAATAAAATTTGCTGCCTGAAACATAGCAAAAAACATAAAGCTTTGCTAAGTTCAGGTATGTAGCACTCCAACTTAGCCAATCTCTGGGCCACCAAATTTGAGATGTCTCCTTGCAAGATCCTCCCATCACATCTAGGCACAGTAATTTGGGAACCATTGCATTACGACAGGAGCATACCAGAAGTGACTTGCAGTTTCTGAAGTCACTCCTGACACACACACACACAAAATATCTCTGGCTTAAGGTGCTAAAAAGAACTAGTCTCATACTGACTCAAGGACTGAAAAATAGGCTTGAAGCTTCAAGCAATATCTTTCATCTATCAGTGGCAACTTTTCAGTCCTTGGTGGTACAATAATTCCCATCTCCTAGTAAGGAAGAAAGCGAGTAAAGGAAATAAGCCACTCTCGATCCAAGCATACATTGGTAACATATTTAGAAGGTTTACACAGTCAGCCTCAGTGCATGGAGTGGACTTTCTTTCTTTGGAGGTCTTTAAACAGAGGTTGGATGGGCATCTTTCAAGAGTGCTGTAGTTAAGTATCCCTATATGTCATGGTGGTGGATTAGATGATCCTTGCAGCCCCTTCTAACTTTAAGATTCTTGAAAACCTCTTGAAGAGATCCTTGAAGATCTCATCATCAAAAATTGAATGTTATTAAGACTGGAAGAAGTGTTACATTGCATCTAAAACCATTGCTAGGGACCAAAGGAAAAACAGCTTAATGGCAGAGGGAAAGAGATGGAGGGAGAAACTTTACAATAGCCCTTATATCCCAAGGGAAACTGTCAGATCTGATGCTAACTCCAAAAGATCTACTGATTATGCTAGGAAATGCCAAAGGTGGATAATGCCCAAATAGTATTTGTACTTTTCAATCACTTTTAAGGTTAGAGAGAAATATTCAGAACTATTTTTTGAACCAATCAATCATTTCTTTTTGTTTTCATTAAATAAGACATCATGACACACCAAATATATATAAATTTGAGATCCAAAACACTTCTGGTCAGAACGTTTCAGATAGAGAATATGATAAATGTTTCTGTTTCTGCAAACCAAATTCAAAATTCAAAAGTAATTCAATCTTAGATAATATGGGAGTGGGTAAGAAAGTAGGTGGTAGAGTCTTATCCTTCTCGGTGAGCTTAGGCAAACCATTTAAAACAAAGGACAATTTAAAAACGAAATGAATACAAAAATTTTGGTTCCCACCCCTTTTCAAAAACTGTGCTTGGGGTGAGAATTCAGAAAATCTGAGTCTAGGATACTGTTTCTGTTAATGCAGGCTGAATGATTTAAGAAAAGAAAAGAAGCAAAGACTCTGTCAGTGGACTAACCTGGGGAAAAGTTGATCCTTAGGGCTACAACTTCAATAACCCCCCTGCAAATACTGCCCTGTTGTTTGAGAAATTCACAACATTCTAATATTTGGGTTGCTGTGAGTTTACTAGGTTGTATGGCCATGTTCCAGAACAAGCCATGAGAGTAAAGACAAAGATCCAACCAGAGGAAAAGTCTTCTTACCATACATTAAGGAAACCACTGACCGAATAGGGAAGCTGATGAAGAAACCCAACCTACAAACTATCTACAGACCCACAAAGAAAATCCAACAAATGCTACATTCAGCAAAGGACAAGAGAGATCCTCTCACCTCTGCAGGAGTTTACCGTATACCATGCAGCAACCACCAAACTCGGCACCCAAACACAAATCAAAGAACATGAGAGATACAGCAGAGTAATTCAGTCTGAGAAGTCAGCCATAGAAGAGCACTTGATGAACCCACCTGGACACAACATATTATTTGAGAACACAGAAATCACTGACCACTCTAACAACTACCATGTCAGACTACACAGAGAAGCCACTGGTTGAAATCCATAAGCACGTGGGCATTTTCAACAGAAAGGAAGAAACCATGAAAATGAACAAAATCAAGCTACCAGTTTTAAACTCTAAAATCAGGACAGTAAATAAAGAGCAACACTCAAAAAGCATGGGCGTTCCAGACAAGAATCAATCTGGGCCAGCTAACACCTCCAAACAAAGGATCCCCCCTGGCAGCAGTTAATTAGGCTTTGAAGCTGCAAGGCCATTCAATGCTAATCAAAGTGGCCAATTGCAACATTCACACTTGCCTCGAGTAGACAAGAGTTCTTTATCCCACCCTGAACATTCCACAGATATATAAACCTCACTTGCCTAGTTTCCAACAGACCCCTCAAACTCTGAGGATGCCTGCCATAGATGTGGGCGAAACGGCAGGAGAGAATGAGTCTGGAACATGGCCATAGAGCCCAGAAACACAAAAACCCAGTGATTCTGGCCATGAAAGCCTTCAACAACACATTCTAATATTTATTTATTTATTATTTAGAGAATGTTTACCCCACTCCTCAGCCACAAAGGCACTCAGAGCGGCTTACAAAATGTTAGCTCACTCTCCGTGTCCCAATTCTCACCTTGCTCCCAATGGCATCAAAGAAGATGTTTACAAAAATGTACTATATGACCAACATATCCACAGAACTGATATACATGGTTTCATTTATCTACAATTTCACTTATGACCTCTTGCTAAAGCTACATGTTAGTCTCAGTATCTCTATCATGTATATCACTGAAAATCTGGAAACACAATGATGCTGTTGGGTGCAAAAACCTGGAACCTTTAGTCCCATTACTTCTCCTTCAACATCTTTCCCATGGAAACATACCTCTCAGTAGAGATGAGAGCAGTTGTTGACTTTGGCAGTCAGCCTCTTCTGTCCCATTTCCACATTAATCTGCAATTTTTAAGAAAAGAACTCCATTAAAATTTGTGGTTAGACCTGTACAAAATGAGTAGAGTCGTTTAAAAGCTGGGAAACATGGTTCATATATTTTCTCCGTCTTGTAATACTAATAATGAAGAATTCACAAGCTGGGAGAAGTTGCCCTGTCTTTCTTCAAACTGAGTTCTCTCGAGCAACAACAATTTGTTGCTCAAGAGGCCGGATTCCAACTGCTGCTCTCTTCTCTCACCTGTCAAAGTGCCTGAGTGCCAACTATTTTGCATGCCGAACTCAGTTTGGAGTATAACAAGGGAGAAGGTGCGAGAAGGACGAAAGTAGGGTATGGGATGAAAAATGGGATGGCAGAGATTAATTGGGATTATTGCATCCAGTTGGGAACAGAGGATACAGATGAGTACAGAAATCTTGGAACAGAAGAGTTTGTGAAGCCTAGTTAGGAGATAATTACCACTTTTCACATCACTCTGTCTAGTACAGCATTTCTCAACCTCGGGGTCGGGACCCTGGAGAGGGGTTGCCAAAGACCATCAGAAAACATATATTTCTAATGGTCTTAGGAACCCCTTTGGCAGAGAAGGCTGAAGATATCTCCACCTGTCCTTCTCTTCCTTTTTTAAACAGATAGTACATCCTCCCACCAAAAGCCCTCCTCCACTGTGATTGGCCAGCCTCTCCACCAGCCTCTCAGCTAAGGGGAAGGCTGTTTCTGAGATTCCAAGTGGGGAAGGGAGAGCAGGAGTGCTCAGCGCAAGGCAGTATTTTTTGTTGGTCATAGGAGTTCTGTGTGCCAAGTTTGGTTCAATTCCATAGTTAGTGGAGTTCAGGATGCTCTTTGATTGTAGGTGAACTATAAATCCCAGCAACTACAAGAAAGAAGTGCTGTGTCCTAGTAGTCAAAAACTAGCTTGGCTACCACGGCAAGCAAGAAGCTACAAACAATTGATTGGTTGATGGTTGCAATAAAAATGGATGGGTAGCATCTGTCAGTTTCCATTTCTCCCACATGCAGTGGTCATGAATGCAAAATAAGGAGATACAATGAGATTTAAGGGGGATATATATTCTTGGCCTGACTGTAGTTACATGAAATCATGGACACAACCAAACACCAATGAATTGTGTTGCTTCTAATTACCCTCTATTTGCACTAGCCAAATTTAATAAGCATATGGACAATTTCAACAGAAAGGAAAAAAGTATGAAAATGAACAAAATCTGGCTACCAGTATTTTAAAAAGCTTCTAAAAGCATAACAGTAAATAAAGAACAACACTCAAAAACAGAGGAATTCAAGACAAGAAACAATCAGGGTCAGCTAATCACCTCCCAACAAAGGATTCCCCCAGGCAGGAAGCAGCCAGGCTTTGAAGCTGCAAGGCCATTCAATGCTAATCAAGATGGCCAATTGAAACATTCACACTACCTCAAACAGACAAAAGTTCTTTCTCCCACCTTGGATATTCCACAGATATATAAACCCAATATTTCTAGTTTCCAAAAGATCTCACAACCTCTGAGGATGCCTGCCATAGATGCAGGTAAAACATCAGTTGAGAATAGCCATACAGCCCGGAAAACTCACAATCAAGTGATTCTGGCCCATGAAAGTCTTCAACAATACATCTAATTTGGAAAATTTAGCTATTTTGAGATTGGAGAAGGCTGTGCCCTCCCACTGTAGGAAATAGGAAAACCCTGAGAAGTATATGTCTCCCTTCCTCCCTTTCCCCACCAATCTTCCTTCCACTTTTGTGTCATGAAGATTACCTTTGGCATTTAATCATCCATAGAAGCCTTTTATGGCTTCCAATACGACACCACAATGAACATAATCCCTTAGTTAAGTGCCAATTAATTATTTAAAAAACACTCATTGGGGATTAGCAATCATGAAACAGATACTGTTCTATTAGTTGTTAATCCTCAATAAATCTACTTGAAATAGACAGTCATCATTTGAAACATGAGAGAACTGGTCCAAGTTAATCTAATTTTTATATGTTAGGGAGATGATTATTATATGTTAAAGAAGTGATCTCCTCAAGGTTTAATGTATTAATGATTCCGAACTATAAAATAAAGACACCGCTTGGAGGGAGTTTCTTAGCCTTACAAGAGACCATTTCCATTAATAGTTATTTATTTCAGGGCTAACATCTTTGCCCAGGGTGGTCAGTGCCAAAGAGGTGGGACCTTTCTTTCATGTCTGATAAGCCAAATGTTCATATTGCTTATTTAAATCAATGTTTGAATATAAAATAATGTTAAAAACAATCAACCATCCACATTCATGAGATTTAGGGGCATGAGACCACTACAAAAGTGGAAACCTGATAATAAATCTAGGCCCCCCCAAACCTTAACTCTTAATCCTGTTGACCATATTTAAATCACAAAAGTAACTGTACTTAAACATATAATAGTAGTAGTAATAGTAAATAATAATAATAATAATAATAATAACAATAATAATAATAATAATAATAACAACAGGTGGCAACATCAGGTGACAGCTTTTCCAATACCTCGATGTAAACCTGTTACTATGACCTAGGAAAATACATTATCTTGCCTTTAATGTGACAGAGTGATTGAGAAAAAGTCAACAGTAGTGTGCTGGTACAATTGTACCAGGAGCTCCAATTTTGTTTGCTTTGCATTTAATGTTTGTTGCAGTCCTAAGTTTCAGGGACTCTGCAGATAGGTGGCTTCTTTTGGCTGCAATCATAGGGCAAGCCACCTGTCAATTATAGTTAGGTTCCCTGGTCCTGCCCCCTTTTTGGGTTTTTGGCAGGAATAGGAGCCTTTTTGGTTCAGTCCACACAGAGAAGCTTTCCACGCAGGACATTATACCAAGAGTTCCTGTAGAAAGCTTCATCTTCTACGGCTTGGCCGGGGAGATATACAGCCCACAGCTTGGCCGGGGAGATACAGCCCCACAGCTTGGCCGAGGATCATACAGCCTTACGGTTCCAATGGAATCTTCCCTCCACTTTTAACACTCTTTTCATAGTTAAAATCAAAAGTTTGGACAAAAATATGATAGGAGCACTTCTAATGGTATGTTCAAATGTAAGGCAAAATTATAAAGTCATTATAAATTGTTCCTGAACTTTCATAGGCACTAGTACTTCCTATAGTTTGTTTTTAAAAAGGGAACAAAAAGTTTAAAAGCTAGCAATAGTGCAATTTTGAAAGCATAGATTATTATGAATGTGAAAATGCACTGAAAGCAAAATAGTGATGTTTTACAATTGTGTTATTCCTTGGGATTACATTAATTTAAAACATTACTGTATTGTCGAAGGCTTTCGTGGCTGGAATCACTAGGTTCTTGTGGGTTTTTTCGGGCTATATGAGCCATGTTCTAGAAGCATTCTCTCCTGACTGTTTCGCCTGCATCAATAGAAACTGCATACTCATATAATCAATCTATTATTATCACTACCTCTGAGGATGCTTGCCATAGATGCAGGCGAAACGTCAGGAGAAATGCCTCTAGAACATGGCTCTATAGCCCGAAAAAACCCACAAGAACTTAGTAAAACATTACTGTTTCAGGCTCACTCAGATGGATTTTGTAAAAGATGTGGAGCATGGGAGATTGTCCATAGGAATGCCCATTCCCCCAAGTCGCTGAAATGATTCAACATGGGCTGTGCAGGTACAGCTGTACCAGGAGATCCAATTTTGTTTGCTTTGCATTGAATGTTTGTTGTAGTCCTAAGTTTCAGGGACTCTGCAGATAGGTGGCTTCTTTTGGCTGCAATCATAGGGCAAGCCACCTGTCAATTATAGTTAGGTTCCCTGGTCCTGCCCCCTTTTTGGGTTTTTGGCAGGAATAGGAGCCTTTTTGGTTCAGTCCACACAGAGAAGCTTTCCATGCAGGACATTATACCAAGAGTTCCTGTAGAAAGCTTCATCTTCTACGGCTTGGCCGGGGAGATATACAGCCCACAGCTTGGCCGGGGAGATACAGCCCCACAGCTTGGCCGAGGATCATACAGCCTTACGGCTCCTTTGCTGAGGGACTTCAGCCAGCCATCACCGAAACCAGAATTCCTTTTCCCTGGAAGTCTACAAAGCTCTGCTTGGTAAGGGTCACTCGCAGAAGCCAGACGCAGTTGGTACCGGGTGCAGGGGCTCCACGCCAACAGAGGCAAAGACAGACTGCCCAGATTAGAAGTTAAGGATTTCCCCATTAGTTAATTACAGTTAAGAAGATAGTGCCTGTTCCCAGTGAACAAGAGACAATAGACAGTTAAGAAAGCTTGAAAGTACCTGTTTGTTTTCATTAATAAAGAACTTTGTTGAACCTTTAAGCAATCTAGAGACTCTGTTTGGGGGAATCCAAGGGCCTTTAATCTGAGGCAGTCCCGGCGTCCCGTTGGGCACACACAATTTATGTCCTGTCTACAGTCTTATGCACAGGCCCAGCGTGCGACAGCACAAGTAGAGATATGCATGGCATTTGTTCCTACCATTTCTACTGTTTCTTTCAGGTCTTCTGTTTCTTCAAAAGCAAGAAATGGGAAGCCCCCTCCCCACATGAAAATATGCTCAACATGAAAGCCTGCTTTCGTGTGCATCCAAACATGCCTCCTTGCCTTGGAAATACATTGCGTGTGAGGCAGGTGCACTCTGAGCCTTCCTGCATGCCCTGCCACACATGCACTCTCAGAGAGTGTGGTGGGGCATGTGTGGCAGGGCATGCAGGCAGACCCAGAGCATGCCTGCAGCTGAGTGCCACTTACTCTAGAGTAATAGGCACTTGGCTGCAGGTAGTGGCAGGCACGCATGCTCTCTTTCCAAGAAGACTGCATGTGTGGCGTAGAGTGCAGGCAGGCCCGGAAAGCGCACTCTCGTGCCAGTGCCTACAGCCAAGCACCACTTATTCTAGAGTAGAAACACCAGGGGTCAGGTAAGAAGAAGACACATCTGGAAGGGGAGCTACTGGATGGCATATGTTCTGTATCAGAAATTAGAGCTGA